CGATGCTAATTCCCCGCACACGGTTTGTCTTATTTTAACTAATTGCTTGCTTATTGAGTGTAATAGGACCTTCGTTGCTCACATCGAATTAGTCTCTGACGAAAATAGCGTATAGTTGCTCCAGCGAAACTTTAGAGCCCGCGACGCGTACGCATGACCCTATGATTGAATTATAAGTCAATATCGTCTCCTGCCCTTCTTCTTCTTCCTTTCCTGCTTCTTTCCATATTTCTATCTCTCTTTCCTTCTCTTCTTCTCTTTCATCTTATCGTTTATTGCTATATCATACCCCCTCTCCACCTATTCCTTCCGTAGTCTCTGCCTTTTTTTTCTTTACTCAACCTTTCTCTTTCTTTTTCTTTCACATACATACACACGCGCGCCCACACATTGGCACGCACGCACGCGCGCACCCTCTCTCCCTCTCTTGCGGTATTTCTCTCTCACACACTTACTCTTTATGTTTCAATCCTTTCACTATATATACAACACTTGATCAATCATAACAGCACAACCAACAAACAACAAAGGAAATTTGAAACTCGTAAATTATATGTAGGGTACGAATAGGTACGAATAGCAAATTACTTCTACTTTCAAAGTGATTACGTCACAGTAAATAGTAAAAGTAAAGAAGCTTTTCCACTTTTTCACAAAATGTAAGTAATTCTGTTTACTTTTTATGGTTAAATTGCTGCACTATACTTCCTATTTTACTATATTGTTCAATGTAAACATACGCTCGTGACTTATACATAGTCCATAGTCAGGATCATATTTATCAAATCGTCCAGGTTTTTTGGATTTTAACTAGTTGAGAAACAATAATAATTATCGGGTAACAATTTGACGATACGAATTAGTACTTACTTTTAATGTAAAAAAAATGGCAACAATTTTTTTTTACAAATATTACCATAGAAAATTCGTGACGTAGTCAATTTAACCTATCGAAATTACGCGCGTCACATCTCACCGCACATGAGACATTTCAGCATCACCATTCATTACGTTGCACACAGATGCCGCGCTTCAACCATCACGATAGCTCTCAGCAAGACTACGGCTAGTCCGTTAGGCTGTATCGCCAGCGGACATGACCGCCAGAGCTCGCGGAAGCCTCGCGCCAATCTTTCTACGGTACTTAGCGTCTGACGGGGGACGTCGTCGTTCTATTCTGTCGGAGCGGCGTCTGCGTCGCCTATGACGTCAGTGGCTTCCGCTGCGTAAGCCGGACAGCCGTATCAAGTCGCGCGGCGCCCGAGAGCGGAATCAGCGGCGGCGGTCTTTGTCGACGACAAAACGCGACGCTCGTGCGAAAGCAAGGCGACACAAAGCGACGACGGCGTCGTCACGCGCCCCGGCAGGCAGCGCGTCGGCACGGCGGCCCGAGCATCTCGCTCGCCCGACGCACTCGCCTCCATTATCGCGCGCTCGCCCGCGCTTTCTCCTCGCGCTCACTCGCTCCTGCTGCCGCGGCGGCATTTTTGCGTGACCGACGCTAATCAATCGGCGCAAAGTTTTAGGATCAGCGTGCGCGCGTGTGAGTGTGTGTGTATGTGTGTGGGAGGGGGCTGTGTATGTGTGTGTGTGTGTGTGTGTGTGCGTGCGTGCGTGCGTGCGTGCGTGCGTGCGTGCGCGCGTGTGTGTGTGTGTGTGTGTGTGTGTGTGTGTGTGTGTGTGCGCGCGCGTGTGCGTGGGTAAGTGCGCGCGCGCATGCGTATATATGGTGTTTGTTGGTCTGTGTTGTGCGCGCGTGCATGCATATGCGTCTTCGTGTATGTGTGTTCTTGGACGCGTGCATGTGCGTGCGTGCACGCACCATCGCCGCATTGTGACGACGCGCGAATAAAGGTGGCGACGGGCTAAACGCACACTGTATAGACCGGCGTGCAGCACATGTTGGGGATTTGCTGCGATAGAAGCCGAAATGACGTGGAAAGCTGGACAACAAATGTTGGATTACGCCCGCCGCCCCGCAGGATACAAACCCGCACACAATTGTGGCCGCTCTAATGGAACACAGATTTCTCAAGCAGTTAAACATCTTTCCGCGGAGAGGGTATTTAGAGGTAATGAAAGATAAGAGGTGAGAAAAGGCAACATAAAGACGAACACAATCGCGTATAATTCGCTTAGCTATCCAATTGATAGAGCCGGCCCTAATTGGCCTATGCAGCGTTCACAGTGGAAACGTGCCCGGACCGCGGGTGGGTACAAAGCCAGCGTGCAACAATCGCACGCCGGGAGTGAGCTGCTTGCAGTGCCAGCCCCACAATGCCCCAGCCCGGCCGAACCTCTTGGCGTTTTCGTGCACGGGTTTGTCGCATTCAGCGCGCCAAATAACAGCGTGTGGCGTTTCGGGAAAACGGGGTCCCGCCGCATCGCTGCAAACATGGACACCGCTCGTAATTAGTGTGTCCTAATCACGCCTTTGTGCGCCAGTTAAGTGAATAGGTTCGCACAATAGCGGGCGGAGAGCTACACATTTCGGGGATGTGTGCCTCGCTTGGTGCTTTCATCTTGACGCGTGATGTTTTCTGACATACGTTAGAAAATCGGCCGGACTAGGTCCACCCGATTCCCACCCTACATTCGACTGGATCCCATAGACGGACACCACCGCTCCGCTGGTCAGTGGGCGCCGTGCCGCGACGAGGGCTACAGGTGCGCGTCTACGGCAAGGGCCGGGTTATAATCGTATTAGTAAATCGTGTTATATGGATGAATCAACGTGAATCGGCATCGTATAAGCGCTGACAGCAATTACCTGCTAATTATTGCAAATTAGCGAAGCCCCTTGATTGACAGAGCCCAGATGTCGTAGCAGGGAACTCGTTTAACGGTCCGGCTGCCAGACTCTTGCTGCGGCGCAATACAATGCAACCGTATGTCTACGACTTCTGCTCGATATAGACATCGTCAGCTCAATATCGTAGTGGATCGCAAAGTAGTACAGCAGTCAATACTATAGTATGGAAGACAACAACAGTGACACGGAAGACACCAGTCGATCAATCGAACAACAGTAGCGCAGAAACAAACAACATGTGTGCACAAGCCAACAACAGTAGTACAGTAGAAAACAACAGTTAGCATAGTATCCAACACCAGTGGGATAGTAGCCAACAACAGGATAGCGGGTGATAATAATAGCCAACAACAGCTGTATGACAGTCAACAATAGTGGCACAGTACTTAATAACAGTAGCACAGTAGCCAACTACAGTAGTACGGAGGCCAACAACAATAGTACTAAAGGGCCAACAACATTAGTGCGGGGGCCATGGACCGACAGTATTGCGACAGCCAGCAGCAGTAGTACACAAGAAAACAACAATAGTACACAAGAAAACCACAGTAGTACACAAGAAAACAACAGTAGTAGACAAGGCAATAACAGTACTACGGTAGCCAACAACAAGAGAGCGGTAGCAAACAACAATAGTGCCAGCGACAACAACAATAGTGCCAGCGACAACAACAATAGTGCGGGGGCCAACGGCAATAGAGAGGAAGCCATTGACGTTATTGTAGTTGACATTATTTGACGGTATGCAGCAGCTGCCGACAGTTACCTACGACAGGCAACTACAATGATTCGCGAGCTGTCAACACACCAACAAAAACAACCACGCGACATCCAACAGTATCAGATCAGATCGGTAAACCGGGACAAATGTACGCTCGGCACCTTCTCCATCAGCCTTCTCGCTTTGCTTCTAATGATACGGTGGTAGCGGCACTCGTGTCAGGGGATGTCCATCTTCTCCACCGTTTCAATGCCTCAACAGCGCCGCTCAACTACATAATCTATAGCTGTTTATCATTTATCTGACTGCATTCCTAAAGCATCCCCCAATGACAACTGCAACAGATCCCTGCTATCTGTGGCCCCGCGGGCCCATATGCGCGTGTACTGTTCGCCAAAGCTGAACGATCCCCCACGTGGTTATAACACGTTATATTCCGCTCTGTATTCTCTACGTTTTGATTTACGAATTCGTGCTAATACGCACCGCGCAGCCTGTGTGGTTACAAGGTTAAGCACAATTTAGTTGCCTACATCACTTTGCATAATTTCGATAAAATCATGACCACATAAATAGTTTATGCACGCTTGATACAATCTATTTCGCTTCAATTATTGTCGACAGATATGTATATACATATATGCCTACATGCCTCTATAAAGTAATGTTGCCGAACGATAAGATCTTTCAATTAAACTGTATGCAAGCCAGTAGCAATGGCAGTAGCAGCGGTAGTGGGGGGAGTGGGCTGCTGCTGGGGTGATGGTGGGGTGGTGCTGCTGCTGGGGGTGATGGTGGTGCTGCTGCTGGGGGTGATGGTGGTGGTGGTGCTGCTGGGGTGATGGTGGTGCTGCTGCTGGTGGTGGTGGGGTGGTGCTGCTGGGGGTGATGGTGGTGGTGCTGCTGGGGATGATGGTGGTGCTGCTACTGAGGGTGGGTGGTGCTGCTGCTGAGGGTGGGTTGGTGGCTGCTGGGGGGATGGCGGTGGCTGATGCTGGTGGTGGTGGTGGTGGCTGCTGTGGGGTGATGGTGGGGTGGTGCTGCTGCTGGGTGATGTGGTGTGCGCTGCTGGTGGTGGTGGGGTGGTGCTGCTGGGGTGAGGTGGTGTGCTCCTGAGGTGGGGTGGTGCTGCTGGCGGGGGAATGGTGGGTGGTTGCGCTGGCTGGGGGTGATGGTGGTGTGCTGCTGGGGTGTGGTGGGGTGGTGCTGCTGCTGGGGTGGTGGGGTGCTGCTGACTGGGTAATCGGGTGGTGATGGTGGCTGCTGCGGGTGGTGGTGGTGCTCTGTTGGGGTGATGGACTGGGTGTGCTGCTGCTGCTGAGGTGTCGGTGGGCGTGGTGCTGCTCGCTGGCGGTGATGGTGCTGCCTGCTTCTGTGGGTGATGGTGGGGTGTGCTGCTGCTGGTGGTGGTGGTGCCTGCTGCCTGGGGGTGATGGCTGGTGCTGCTGCTGGGGATGGTGGTCGGCTCTAGCTGGGGGTGATGGTGGTGCTGCTGCTGGGGGTGATGGTGGTGCTGCTGCTAGGCGGTAGTGTGGGGCCTGCTGCTGGAGGTGATGGTGGGCTGCTGCTGGGGGTGGTGGGTTGGGCTGGCTGCTGGGCGTTGATGGTGGCTGCTCCTGGGGGTGAATGGTGGTGGTCTGGCTGGGAGGGTGGGGTGTGGCTGCTCGCTGCTGCTGGGGGTGAATGGTGTGCTCGCTGCTGGGGGTGGGGAGGGGGGGGGTGGCTGCTTCTGGGGTGGTGGTGGTGCTGCTTCTGGGGTGTGGGTGGGTGGTGGTGCTGCTGGCGGTGGGTGTGGTGTGCTGCTGCTGGGGTGATGGGTGGTGCTGCTGATGGGGGGTGATGTGGCTGCTGCTGGAGATGGTGTGGTGCTGCTGCCTGGGGACTGGTGGTGGGTTGCTGCGCGCTGGGGGTGATGGTGGTCTGGACTGCTGGGGTAATGGTGTGTGGTGAGCTGCTGATGGGATGGTGGTGGGGTGGTGCCTGCTGCTAGGGGGTGATGGTGGTGCTGCTGCTGGGGTAATGGGTGGTGTGGTGTAGCTGGGTGGAGGGTGTGGCTGTGGGCGTGAATGAGTGGTGATGCGTGTCTGCTGCTGTGGGTAATGGTGGTGGTGCTGCTGGGTGGATGGTGGGGTGCTGCGGCTAGCTGGGGTGATAGGTGGTGCTGGCTGGATGGGGGTGATGTGGTGCTGCTGCTTGGGGTGATAGTGGTGTGAGTGCTGCTGGGTTGATGGTGGTGCTGCTGGGGGTGATGGTGGTGCTAGCTGTGGAGGTAATGGTGGCCGTGGTGCTGGCTGGGCTGATGGTGGGGTGCTGCTGCTGCTGGGGGTGATGTAGGTGCTGTAGCTGGGGGTGATGGTGGTGCTGCTGCTGGGGTGGATATGCGTGTGTCTGCTGGGGGGATGGTTGTTTTGCTGCTGATGGGGTGGGGTGGTGCTGCTGCTGGGGGTGATGGTGGTGCTGCTGCTGGGGGGATGGTGGTGCTGCGATGGGGGTGGTGGCTGCTGCGGGGGTGATGGTGGTGCTGCTGCTCGGGGGATGGTGGTGCCTGGCTGATGGGGAGTGGGGTGGTGCTGCTGCTGTGTTATGGTGGCTGCTGCCTGATGGGGTGGGTGGGTGCTGCTGCTAGGGGGATGGTGGGGGGGGGTGCTGCTGAGGGTGTGGGTGGTGGCTCGCTGCTCCTGGGGCGTGGGTGGTGCTGGCTGCTGGGGGGGTGGTGGATGTGGGTGCGGTGGCGAACCGGCGAGGCGTCGGTGGTGGTTGTGCTGGTGCTGGTGGTGGGCAAGCGGAGTGTTGGTGTTGTGCAGGTGATGGTGGTGGCGGCTGGGTATGTGTGTTGTTGTTGTGTCGTCGTTGTTGTTGTTGTTGTTGTTTGTTTGTTTGTTGTTTGTTGTTGGTGGGTGTGTGTGTTGTGGTAGTGGTGGGGTGGTGTGGTGGTGGTGGCGGCGGTGGTGGTTGTGGTGATAATGGTGGTGGTAATGGGGGGGGGGTGGTTAGGTGTGGTGGTGGTGGTGTTGGTGTTGTGCCTGGCTGTGGGCTGCTGGCTGCTGGTGGTTGGGGGTGGTGGTGGTGGTGGGGTGTGAATGGTGTGGTGGTGGTGGTGGTGGTGATGGTGGTAGTGGTAGTGGTAGTGGTGGTGGTGGTGGTGGTGGTGGTGGTTGTGCTGGTGGTGGTTGTGGTAGTGGTGGTGGTGGTGGTGGCGGCGGCGATGGTAGTATTGGTGTTGTTGTTGGTGGTGGTGGTATTAAAACCACACACGATGTAAACACACAAATCTACGATTAAATAAATAATCAGGACGAAAGACGTGTGACGACAATAGTAATATTACAATTTTAAGTATGAAAAATTATAACAAGATTATTTAACGATTCCGAACCAAGATTAAGCGATACATAAATTATAGATTACCTGAAATCATACTGTATTCGATTAAACTGTTTAACAAATTGCCTCAAACCATGCATGTAAGTTGATGGAGGCAAACCTCGTAACCGGACAGGTCGAGGCTGTTCAGTATTACGCTATTTACAAATGAAACATTTGCAAAATCAAACTCGTTGTTATGTTTACGTGGCCTTGTATTCATGGCACATGCACGTAAATGTTTGCGTGCGCCTGTACGTGCTTGCGTGTGCACGCACGTCAGTTAGTGCCCGCGCGTGTGCATTGCTTGTGCGTGTGCGCGTGTGCAGAGTGCAAACCTGAGTCTTCGTGTCTGAGCGCACGTGAAATCGCTCGTGTTAATCGCGATGATATTCTAAATACTGGATACTGCCCAAATGCATAGTGTTATAGTGCACCGCTGACATAAAGATTAGCCAAATTATACGAATGATTTATAATATCAAGAAATCCAACGGATGCGGCTAGCCCTGAATTCATTGGTTATAAATATGCGCGCGGGCTATATGTGTGCTTCAATAAAGCATTCAGCATTAAATTAAATGTGTGCTCCAAAATTAAACCCATTAGTAACGAAAAATACTATCACGATGCGCGATCCACACGACTGTTGGTTTCGATCGTCGCTCATCATTTCCCGCCGACGACTGTTGCCCGTACGCAACGCACACAAATTACTTCGGCGAGAGGCGACCGAGATCTTTGCGCGTCAACTCACCGCGTTAGAAGACACATATCTAGATTTTCATTAGACGCTTGTTTGCTGATGATGTTCTATCCGACGTGCTAGCGAGCACACGCCTCGCTTTTACACGTATAAGTACAGCAGCGCGTGAACGATCGTCTAGGTTAGCTTGTTTGATGAACCGTATACCGCTATACGGTATACACTATACGGTAAACTTCCTGCTGAACTCCCGTCCGTATTGTCTGTCCAATCTCTCCATGCTGCCGCGCAATTATAAAATTAAATACGCTTTGCGAATTGGCAACGCAGTCAATGATACTCGCGGAGGTGTAGTCAGTGTCTATTAGAAAAGCATATAGGAAACGGCTTGAGCCAATCGATGAGAACTGAGCTTTTTCCGCCGGCGGCTCTTCTAATATCGTAAAAATGGCAACCCGTGCTCGCGGATAATCGTAATAAAGCACAAAACTGAGCGACAGATGCGATGTAAGTGTTTTGCAGTGAGCGCTTGACGAACGGCCATTCACAATATTTCAGCGCGCATTCCGCAAGTTTTCGCGAGAGCTGTTGATTTTAATGAAGACGGCGGAAGTAAATTTACAGACCACGGGCGGAAAATTACCATAAGGAGGATATATATATTATAGCATCATACGGTGGTTGCCGACTTTACTTAGCAATACAAATGTTATTAAACGAAACTCGTTCGGTGTCATTCAACAAGGACGTACTGTATAGAGCTAGCTAAAATTACAAGAATGTTTTCAATTATTTTCGTCGCGTCGCTGTTTCCACTCGAACAAAGCGGCTGTCTATAATATCGACGCTGTTGTTTTGAACTTTAACTGTAAAAGTGCGGAGTCATGCAATATGCGTTTGTATGTCATGTGTACTACTAGAGTGGGGGAAGGGGTGTACAATCCCTCTCTCTCTCTCTCATGCATGTCAACGCAGGCTAGGCGGATTATATTGTCATAACCATATTAATATATACGAGCACGGCGTTACTGCGAATTTGAAAACAGCGCAAGCGGCAACGACGACGTATATACGCGAGAAGACAGCGAATTAAGCTCTCAGCCTCGACGAGTTACGCAGTAAGTAGGAAATTTAGAGATTACGGAAACAGGCCGCCCCGTGAATAGCGGCGCCGTAATAAACCGCCAGCTTATATCGTGTTTTGTTTCGCCGGTCTGACGGAACGAGCTAGAAAGAACAAACCGTATAATCCATAAAATTAATGGGGCATGTTTTGAATGGATTAAATAAAAGTCGGCGACTGAAAGTGCGCGTGTTTTTTGTCGCCCGTGCGAGGATGTTTTTTTGGATGAATGTTAAAACACCGCGCCTTGCGTAAATCGTACACTTAACCTCTGGTGCGTCTCTTGCGCGTACAAATATCGTTATGGATAGAAATTAGCGGATACTTCACGATAAAAGGAGGATGCTTGATACGACCCGCTTTTTTCTGACTATTTCTCCCTCTCTCTCTCTCTCTCTCTCTCTCTCTCTCTCTCTCTTTCTCTGCTCGACAACTCGCCGTAACATAATCGCGTTAAAAACCGCAGGTAAGTAGCACCCGATCACGTGATCGGACACAGTCGTCTGCTACGGCGTCAAAACAGGACACACGGCGCCCGGTAAAACATCGTCATTCAATACTGTTTAGGGCGAACCGCTGCGCAAGGTGCAGCCCACTATTGTGCTGCGCGCGGGCAAAGCTGTCTTCCTAATAAGAAGACGGACGGAGGGATTTCGCTCTGCCTATTATAACAGCGGGTGACATATCATTGTCGTCGACACAAAGGTGCCGTACCGGCCTTCACGAAGATATACAGTAGCGACAAAGGCAAACAAATGCGAGCGTAGGCAAAGACATTAATTTGCAGTAATTTAGAGTTTATTAGGGCCCGACTGCAGGCGACGTCGTGATTAAGCTGATAATAATCTGCTATCGGCGACCATCTTCGCCCGCTTTGTAAGCGCCTCCGTATTTTCTCACGGACCGCGTTTTCGCCGAACGTCGCCTTTGCCGCATCTTATATACCTGCCACCACTGTCCCCGTCTGAGCATCGTGGCCACTCCGAGGCGTTGATCGCGCGGGCGGCGGCGGCTCTGCGCGTCAGAGGACCGCTTCTATTGCGGCTCTGCATCTATAATGCACGCCTGCGATGTCTCGCGCTTGCGTGATGCGCGCCTGGGCTATTACCTACGAGTAGTCGTCATTAGAAATCGATTTAACTCTCGGGTCGATAATAGAGTAGTTTGAATTTAATAAACAAAATTGCGCGGCAATGAAATTGTACGGCAGCGATGCTATCGGCGGCGATGAATGTTTTTTGGCCGCTGTAGTGAGCGCTGCCGCCGGGCTTTGTTATCAGCGTCCATCTCCAACCAGCCAGAGCGCCGAGCATGCGTTGAATGACGTAGTACGTGCAGCTATGGGCGCGAGATTTTGCAGATATAGCACGATCGTTCCGCGAACGCCCAGCGCGCTGAACGTAGAACGAACGCGACTGTCCCCCCCCCTCCGACTCTCCCCCGAGTCGCTGCTCCGCGAAACGTCCGCGCGATCGCCTGAAAGACGAGTTGTCTATTAATCAGGAGATAATGGTGCGTTGGAGCGATTACCACCATCGACGCTACCCGGGTGTGGGGCGTACAGCGGCGCTGTCGCTTTCACCAACGCTCATCGTGTCTTGTGTGCGCGCATGCACCTGCCACAAGACATGGTCATCGCCACCAACGCGAAACAAATGCGCATGCATGCACGCTCATCGCGGCAAAACGAGACTGAGAAAAAAAACCAACGACGTCGTTTGAGGATTAAGGGTACAATTCGAGACGGAAATGACATCTTTATTTAATATTTGCCATAAGTCTGCCTGACAGTTACAATTATAGGATTAAAATAGAGGCGATACTGCTAATTGCAATGACCATGTACACGATTTATTCTGCGACGGTGCCGCTACAATTTAAATTTAATCCAGTTGTTTATTTTTTGTGCCGGAGTTTGCTGACACGGGAAGTATTACAAAGACTACAAACGATAGGGGGCAGGTCGCTGGCTGTGGGCCGAGGCAGTGCTGAACACAATATATTTAGCTTCTTAAGAAAAGCTAGGGAATTACGGCTCGTTAGATTCCCTGTTCTACCCGTGGCTTACAGAAGGGCATGTAAGTGTACAGAGAGAATCCGATTCGCCATCATTATCATCATCATCATCATCATTATCATCATCATCATCATCATCATCATCATCATCATCATCATCATGATTATCATCATCATCATCATCATTATCATCATCATCATCATCATCATCATCATCATCATCATCATCATCATCATCATCATCGTATCTAATCTCTTCAACGTAGCTTACACCTCGCAATATATTAGTTGTATATAATCAAGAGTCCATAATAGAAAATTCTCTATTATAAAAGAAAAATAATTAATAAAGATATAATTAATAAAAATAATAAAGAAGCATTATAAAGAAAAGGTTCTATTATGAACTCTTGATATAATCCTACATATATATATATGAGTTATTGTCGCGGGTAAAATTTTTTACCGTCGATACAGTGACTTGTTATATGATAGGGTTCATTGGCAATATTCTTGTGTATACAGGGCAATAGTTTAAATATACATTATTACGCAGTTGACTGTGCAAGCGCATTGGAATTATTCGCAGCTATTTTCGAATTTGATACATTCAAACACGAAAGCGAATCACTCAATAACTTATGCAGCATACTATTTAAATATCCTCTTTGTAGACTTCATGCGCATATATTTTATGGGGGATATAAAGGAAGGCATTCGGTTTAAAACATGTCTGATGCGAAATAGATTATGCGACTGTAACGCCACTTTCGATGTGTATCTCCAGATCCGCCACACCGTTGCCTTGCTCTCATCGCGTTCAATAAACGCATTTAAATGGCGAATTTTGGTAGTTGACCGCTTGATTGAAGGCCAATTTCAATGTCGGCTAGGCGAACACTTTTCTCACACAATGGCGCTGCCTTCGTCATGATTTATTCTACTGACCGGCTTCGCATGCGAACGCTGCGCTCCTAGCGGATATCGCCAATTTGTCCGGCAAACATTGATTAAAGTGCAAATAACAATTTAGGCGAGATATCGTAAATCTGAGTCGATTGTAGAAGCGAAGATCAACACGCGATCGCGAGGCAGGCACGGTTCCTTATAGCAGCGCCTGATATTTGCTCTCTTCATAGCCTGCCGTCCTTTTACCGCGCATCGCTCTCTCTCTCTCTCTCTCTCTCTCTCTCTCTCTCTCTCTCTCTCTCTCTCTCTCTCTCTCT